AGGACTCAGGTAAGTTAAGAATTCCAACAAGTCTACATAAGCACCAAGCTGTAAGCTGGTAGTGTGCACAATAATTGTTCAAACATGTATCTATTAGAGAGTGGTTTATGCTGCTGAATTTCTGTACTGGAACAAGAAACAAGAATGGTGCCAAAAGGTTCAAATGTGCACTAGCAAGGACCCCTTCCCAATGTAACTTTCATTCTATTTAGATCAATCCAGCTCCGAGGGGACTCTTGCTGATTGCAATCAGATTAAAAGATTAACACGCCTCCTCCTGACGTTGAGTAGAAAACAGACAAGCTGTAAAATTTACTTACATTCAAACAAAAACACTATCTGCTGTAATTTAACTCTACATTAAGACTTCACTTAGCAAATGGATCAGGCTTGAGGGAACCATTGAAAATTAAAGACAACTTAAAAGGCATCTGTGACTTTGAACCATTTTACAGAGTAAGTGAACTGCAGAGCTACAAAAAAATTCTTGAAAGCCTATATCAAGGTTTTGAAGTTCTGTCACATTTTTTGGTTTCCCCAGAAAAAATTGCTTATAAAAAACTAATTAGCTGACAATTGGTACAACACATTCTATTTTGTTTCCCCCCAAAAAAACAGCTACATTACAATCCACACCCAATTACTGTCAATCCCAAGAGAGCATCAAGCCATTTAAAGGCTGCCACACTTTCTATTTTGTGATATATCTGATAATGATTACATGGAATTTCATTATTTTCTGCAGGTATGAATTGGCATGGCAGCTCTGAATGCTTTTTTTCCTGGAAGTATTGACAAAAGGTTGTACAGTTTAGAAAAGAGAAGGCAAACAAATGTCAGGAAGTGCTCAATTAAAACAGAATTTAATCCTCCTTTTTTTTTCTAAATTTATCCTCTAAGGACTGCTGATGGTTTCACATTTCTCACAACGGCACTCGATAAAAAAATGTAGCACGTGCATAAATGCATTATATTAAAATTTATTCAGAATTTCTGTTGATCTTGCTTTCTCAATTTTTTCTTGTTTTTTTTTGCACTTTTTGTATATTGTAATACATAAGACCGCATTTCTGATACCCACTTCCAAAACCTTTTTAAAAAAACTACCTTCTTAGAATAAAAAAAATTAATTCATGCTGATAAACTGGTGTTAAAAAGATAAAACTGAAGATACCAGAGATGCACCTATCTACTGGACTGATCACTGTAGCCTGTAAGATGAACTGCTGAGCTTGTAACTATTCATTAACACTAAGGCCCCATTCAGAATTGGGGACTAACTAGCTTGCCATCTAATCTGCTAACAGACACTGAATAGATATCCCGTAGGGAAGTATACAAGTGGCTCGGCCATATTGGACCCTCAGACTAGTTAGTCCCCCATTCTGAATAATGCCTAACTGAACTTCTCTGCCCATTTCACCATGCTTGAACCTTGTGAGTTTTTTTTTTTTTTTTTTTCTAATAGGATATTCTAATAGGATATTCTTTCCAAGAAAGATTTCTCCTCCTAAAGAAAGATGAGATTTCACCAGCATTTCAGAGTCTCTGGTACTATCCACTGACACCAACTGAACTTCCATTTCAATGCTTGAACCTTCAAAACATGTTTTTATTTCTAATAATAGGATATATAATATATATTCTTTCCAAGAAAGATTTCTTCTCCTCTTAAAGAGAGATGAGATTTCGCCAGCATTTCAGAGTCTCTGGTAGCTATTGTCGACATCCACTGAACTTCTTCACCCACTTTACCATGCTTGAACCTTCACAACATATGAGTTTTTATTTCTGATAATAGGATATTATTTCCAAGAAAGATTTCTTCTCCTCTTCAAGAGAGATGAGATTTCACCAGCATTTCAAAGTCCTCTCTATACATCTATATCTGCAGGGGACTAAACATTAAAAATAATCTACATGCTGTGTCCTGTAATTAAGGCAGATCATGAAAATTGTTTTCATAGAAGTATTACATGATGTCAAGCTAATTGTGACCCAGTGGCCATAAACATGTTGCCTAGCTTTAGCGCACAAGAATGAAAATTGGTAGATTTTAAGTTTGTACGGCTTAGTAAAATATATGCAGTAAGCAAGATCTATATTTTTAAAGCTTCCATGGCATTCCTCAATAAAGCAAAATATTTTTCTTCCCTCTCTTTTTTTTACAGTAACTTTGTCCAAATGTAAAAGAAACGCAAAACAATGTGCCATATCTCAAAATAAATATTTTCTTTTTTTTATTACCCAACTTGTATTACATTATAATGACAGGTTTCCTCCCCGTACCCTTTGAATTGTGTAATCTATCATGCACTAAATTCCAGTACACTGAATGCATATTGCCAAGATTAGTCCGATTGTTAAATAAATCTCTCAGATGAACAATTCCGTAAAACTGTGTTCTCACTGGCAAGGACAGAATGGTCCCGTGGCCTTAAAACATGATATCAACATTATCTGATGGTTGCCAGCACAGCAGTATATCACCTACTGGTAACTGTGGTATAGGGCCTAATGTACAACATAAGTTACTAATATCATAGATAAGACTGAAATAAACTAAATATGTTAAAATTTAAAAAGTAACCAAAACATTTTGCAATTATGGTCTCTATCTATTGAAAATAAATAAATAAATAAATAAATAAATAAATAAATAAATAAATAAATAAATAAATAAATAAAATCTCAGTGTTCAGCTCTTCGGCAGGCCTCAGTCCATTCCCTCGATTCCTCTGACACTATCAAATACCTAAGAACCAGTTCTAATTCACCTCTGTGTGAACACACCTCAGGTGGAGCACAGGTAGCAATGCCTGACATTTGGAAAGCATTAAAGTTACAAACTCAATCCAGTTTTAGAAGCCAGCAAATTAAATGCCACTCTGAGAATGGGGAGGGGAGGAGAGACCGTTAACAGGAAACCCCTAATCTCCACACACAGTAAATTATCTAAAGTTGAATGGATTTCGGCTCACACTAATACAAATGGCAAATTTTTCTGGCATTTCAATCTCTGCTCAGCTGAGCTACAAACTCAACAAAATATTTAAAATGTCTATTTTTTTATGAAACCTCACCTCCCCCCTCCCCTCCACCACAAGTCCAAAAAGTGGTCACATGCATTTCTCTCCACAAACTCACAATCACCCTCCAGCTCCTAAATACCATTTCTCCCAAAGGTCAATCTCCCCATTTCAAAATGCATAAGATAGGTTCATGCTGGCAACAATATTCAGAAAAGGCAATTGTTAAAACTATATATAATACCAAAGGCAGCCATAATGAAAATAATTGTTGAAGAAGAGATCTTAATAGATCATATTCGGGAACAAATTGCCCTTTCCATCACAGATGATTTGCCAATGCTGGCCACAAATGTAATGCTATTTGGATCTGAGGGATGGAAATTTTAGTTCCACTTATTCAATTCAATGGTTAAAGCTTATCATTGATCATCCAGGGTAATTCAAGCTACACCAGTGCCACCTTTTGACAAGTGTTTCAGTGACTGAAAGATTTGGTCTTCGTGATGTGATGGTGGTGATGCAGAAACACATTATCTGTGAGCTTGAAAATTAATTGTACTGCTTAAAAATGTAGGAAATTTGCCATGATGTTAAATTAGAATACAGACTGTTCTTACATATTTAAAGGGCCCACATTGACGTGAAACACCACTTCAACAGTTATCACCCTCGTAGCAGAGAAGAAAATATCATTTTCATTTCTTTCATAACACTTAAGGCAATAAAAACAACCAAGACAATATCCATAGGAGACATTAATCACTGTGAGTGATTTTCACTTGACATGGCGCACTGAAAACCTACCCAAATAACAAACTCATCAATGATGATAAACCGGAGTATCCATAAACATGGACTGAATCACCATTTAATCCATAATATTGAAGATGCACCATTATCTGAGCTATCTAGTTATAGCATGTATTCAATACCGTATACATACAGTATTGAATACATGCTATATTCAATACCGTATAAATACAGTATAATCTCCTCAAATGTGAACAAAATACTTATTTTTCCATTGCAATGTACTGTAAGTGACAACTGAAAAACACTATCCAGAAGTTTGCCGAATGTTTCAATTTGTGCTAGAAGTTCAAGCGATTTATCTTAAAATAATGAAATAAAAGAATGGTTCTGGCTTCTGACGCGCAATTATTACCACACACCATCTGGCAACAGCTCTCGAATAACACTTTACAAATTAAAAACACAATATCCTGTTATTAGAGGTAATTTCTTATAAAATCCTATTGTTCTACGTTACAGAATGCAGGACAACCACTGTATCAAGCAAACAAGGAAAGCTGTGCAGTAAATGACATCAAATATCTACCAGACACGTATGGATGCTTTCAAAAGTGTCAAATACTCCAGACCGAGAAACCTGTTAACTTCCTTTTCTTCACTAACACGTACCTGCCAAGATATTGATTTTTCCAAACCAGGTAACAGATTCTGAGTGAGAAGTGATTAAAAAGGTTCCTCTGTTATGTCATGATGACTCACATTTTGACACCTCGTTAAACAGAAGCTGCATCTAACGGTCTTCTTTTCAGGTGTTGACAAAAGAATTCTTTTTAAAATAAGTGCGTGGGTATTCATGTGTCTACATGCATGTGCATGATAAGATAGCGTTCTGTTATTAGGATGAATAAGCATTTACCTGGAATTGGTCTCTACTGGTAAAAGCATCAATATGAATATTCTTTTTTTTTTTTTTTTTTTGTAAAAGATATAATCTTTGATTGCCAGCAGGTCTACCACAATCTGATAACCTTGTCCATTCAATTGCTCCAAGTACAGAACATAAAAGATTCAATTAATTTTTCTAAAAAATTATTTTCTGAAGTCTGCTACTCTATAGCGCATATATATCTGTAATGTAACTGACCGCCACTCATCCACACTATGAAACAGAAACCTCCTCATAAAAACACAAACAAAAACATGTAACCAACTTACTGTTTCCATTTTCTTTTACTTCTCCATTTTCCTCTATTGTCATGTGCTCCGCCAGCTCTGACAGGCTCTCATCAATGGTACGCTTGCCTCGGAATGTGAGGGACAACTTTCGCTTTATCTTCTTCATGTTTGGAGGTAGGAAACACCCTGGACCAAATGACTCCTCACGCTGAGTTAATGACAGTTTTTCTCTGAGATTTTTTTCTTCGTTGTGTTATCTTGCTGGTGCCATCTCGTAAGCCTAGGGTTTCTTTAAGCATTAGCAATATTTTTGCCTGCTCTGAGTGTTGGCTTACACCACGCCCATGAATCGTAGGTGTGAAGCAATCATTCTAGAGCACGGAATACCAATTAAGAAGAATGATATTGCCAGCAGTGGTTTATGACAAATCCTGCTGTAATAATAGGATGGAATGTGACAACAGTGCAATAAGGCAATACTCAGTCAACAATGGTGACTTAAGTTCCAAAGCTTGGTTTAAGCATACGGCATTTCTAGCAAACTAATTTATATTGCGCACTTCTTGTTTTTCTTCGTGCCCAGTGTCTGAATAAGTTTCCGCTGCCTTCCAGAGCTTTCTGCAAACTAAAGCTCTCTGCTTCAGTTCCACTGCCCTGCAGTTTATTAAGAAAGCAAATTGCTTCGTCTCTGTTTTTTTTTTGTTTTTTTTTGCCAATTTGCTATTCAATCAACAGCCAGTGCATTGAAACACAAGTAGCATCTAATAGCTGTCTCTTAGTGAAGAGGCATCTTGTCTCGGAGATTGTCCATGATACATATCATAAATAAATGTCAATGCCTATTAACACTCCTGCCCAGGCAGGTGGTACTGTCATAATGGGCGACAGAGACATTTGTAGGAAACAATTCCCCCGTGGAAATTCAAACATGTTCCATTGTACCACATACATAAATATATATATTCCTGGTCATGGATTTCTTCTCCCACTCAAGATATATTTAATTAAAGCTCTGCTTCTTCTTTACCGATGAATACGTCTTGTTCAGATTCTGTTTCCAGATTGGAACCAACTCATAAAGTGCTTCTTGTCAGAAAATTAATTTGTCAGTTATTGGATTCTCTCCTAGGCTGAATGGTCTTAATAAATTTTCTCCTGTTCTGCACCGCTACATATGAATGTCATTTTTCTCCCGTATTCTTGCAGGCAGAACAAAAGACCCAAAATGTGTCTATCTGAAGATTTCTCCGGTCATGGATTCAAGCCTGTCATGCGACTTTCATTCCTGTCAGTTCCTTGAGTTCAGAAAATGGTCCAAAATCCTGGATTTTTAAAGAATCACATCACCATTGTGGAAATTAAAAACTCCCTGTCAATACTGCTTGCTCATATCCTGCAATAAGAAAATAAAAAATGATAAAACTTGTCAATCAAGTGACAAATAACTCTTTTAAAGAGTAATGATTTTTTTCTCCTTTGTGTGGAAGCCTTTTTATTGACTGGGTGAGAAGATAAATTGTGCATGAAAAAAGACACAAAATCCTGACTTGTCACTCTTACCAAATAGAGATTAAATTGACCTTTAAATGTTGTGGTGTTTCCTAGAAAAAGGGGAGACAAGTCAGAGAACAAGTCACCTTCTTTGTGCTACATTCTAAAGAAGTAAAATGATAGATTAACTTACTACTAAAAAAATCAATTTCTAAAAGGGGGGGAGACGCGATGCATTTTGGTGTTGAGCAGACATGTTTTGAAAACTACCTTATTATATTCCAGTTATGAAAGAGTCTACAATAACACAACATAATTCACAAGCTGAAGGCGTCCAAGACTCCTGTAATTAAATTGGACCTTATGGTTTGGAAAACATCCATAGAAATGACATATAGCGCATTCAGAACAGATGATCCATGGACTAACTGATCCGCTGACTAAATATGGCCGACCCCACTCAAAAGCAGTGCTGCATATTCTCCTAATGGTCTCCCTGCCTCCACATGCATCACTGAATAGGTCAAATCTTGGCTCTCAAGGTTTAATTGCAAGGCCCCTGCAGGACGGCGAGTGGAGGTGGGGAGGCACCAGGCAATTGCTCAATGCTGCTTTTACGCGAGTCAGCCATGTTTAGTCCACGTATCAGTTAGTCCACATGGATCAACCTGTGCTGAATCAGAATGCCCTCTTAATCTATCATATTCTATGACAGATGTACTGGGAAATTTTCTGCCTTTTCTCCCCAACGCAATTGCAACAGAGCCGCTAACACTTGGGCAGTTCCAGGCCTGATAAACAATAATTGCCGTATGCTACCAGGAACCTTAGTTTTGGGAACAATTTTGAATTGAACATGAAGGAGGCATAGAACACTTTTTGTAATCACCTCTAAAAATTACAAATAATGGCAATCTTCATGTGAAGTCTGTAAAAAATGTGGCATTTTCCAGCCTTGAAGTTCCCTTAATAACAATTTTTCAGGCACCATAAGACCACGCATTTTTTTCAGTCACCATACAACCATTCACGTTAAATTTACTTAATAAGCCAATTAACAGAGAATTCCCTGTACACAGGAAACGAGGGGAAAATTATCCTTATTATCCATCTTCATGACAGAAACCAATTAGCTTTGTCATTTTCGCTGCAAGGGGAGAAGACTTCATAATAAGAGTACCGATCACATTTCAGTATCAGCGAAAACTGGGAGGATTCTTTTACAAAAAAACTATATGGTTGTATCGTGACACTTCTGCAAATGTCAGAATCATTCTTCTTGTGAGAGTCAAAATAAACAGATGACACAGCACGTGATTTATAGTGCTTCAACAAGATGATGTGATTTCACAGAACTCATACACATATACACACAAACATGCTCCAAATTTATATATTTGTGGAAGTTAATTGTATTCTGTGCCAATATGTGTTTTTTTTCCTCTTAATTTGAGAACATACCGTGTTTTACATCAGAATTAGATCCCTGGAGGTGTAAGGGTGTGCACACACATGAGCACATGTACCACAACTGTGAAAACATGTTATCACAGAAGTCATTATGCTCACTCCAGAAAAAAATCTTTATTTTTAAAAAAATATCTAGACCAACTAAGTTCAATCACAGTAAGATCACAATATGGTTGGCATTACTGTTCACTGTTTCATCCTATTTCACTGTCTGTAACACTGCTCAGATGTGGTGGTTGAGACATACAACAATTGTTTTAAGATGTGGTAGTTGTGACTGACAATAATGTGTTCAAGCAATGCAACGGCAGTCTGTGCCTGTACTATGTACCTTTTTTTTTTTTTTTTTTTTGCAAAATATTCAATTCAATTATTTTTCCGGTACCTGCTGTCCAAGACTAGTTTTATGGAAGTACAGTACTAGTATGTGCACAACATTCTTCAGTTTAGTCATACGGATAGAACATAGTACCAAAACACAGTCAGATTCAAACAACAAGGCAGTAAACTAAGCTAAAAGAATGTATCAAATACATTTTTTTTTGGCTATGGTGAAATAAAATTCTGTATCAACCATCCAGTGCAAGCCTCATGGCAAGAGGTTACTAACCCATCCCATAAACATCACCACTTATTTTCAAGTATCGAGTTTAACTGTCTTTATTTACGTCACACAGACAGAGATTGCAGTAATTTGGCAATATTTGCTTCTATTTCCAGCTGCAAGATTCTATTCTTACTGTTCCTTGCTATCACGAGGACCATGTTAGTGCAGGAGCCCGTCAATAAGCAACAGATTAGGTTATCTAATGATAGAAGGCAAAGTTATTGGAGAAATGAAAAAGGTTCAAATTAGAACTGCTTGTAATCAATACAGAGCAATTGTCCAAAGCTGAGAGAGAGAGAGAGAGAGAGAGAGAGAGAGAGATGTACAGAACTGACAAATTATCTTTAAAGCAAGGAGGTCAGAAAAAAGAATGAGACAAAATAAAACTAGCAATCAGTTTAAGAAAAATGTACTGGAAAAATACAATCAACTATCCTTCTCTCGCAAAATAATTGTTAAGTCTAAAAGACTGTCAGTCACTGAATAAACAGGACAGTAATTAATTAGGTGCCCCTGGTTCATCTTTCTTGGCTTAATGATGTATTCCAAAGAGACAATCCAATTAATTGTCTCTGCTGTATTACAATAATCAATGGACCTGTCTGTATTCTGACCACATCTGAAGCCCTTTTTACATTTAGCTGTAAATTTTTCTGTACTTTAACAGTTTGACTGGTTCTGATATATATATAAAAACAACTGAATGATGATTACAAATATGAGCCTATATTAATAAGCTCTTATTTTAAACAGACAGAGATCACTCAAAGACATGAGAAACAGGCCTACCCAACTACCAGACTCGGCACCGAATCCTGGTTCGATCTACCGGTGAGGTTGATTGGACCACACTACCCGTTTTCAAGGTGTGCTTCAGTACGCACTTTGAAGTATCAGATGCCACACCGCTCTTGCCTGGTACACGATGTGATAGTGATGATTCTCAGTGGGGTTGGATAGTATTGCATCATCACCCAAAATTTGTTCGGGGTATTATACTGTGAAATGCGTACCAACCCACACCTTGAAAATGGGTAGTAGAGTGGTCCGATCTACTGGTGAATTTGGGATCATTCGGTGCCGAGTCTGGTAGTTGGGTATGCCTAAGAAACTCAGTGATATTATAAGGACAAAAAAAAAAAAAAAGAATTCATAAATATATTAAATCATACCACTACCTGTCGGTCTCACTGATAACAGTACAACTGAAGAAAAATGAAGAAAATTCCAAAATATGCCTTTCTGTTATAAAAAAAAAAAAAAAATCTCTTTTTCTGTAACCGCTGAAATGTTACATGCCAGCATACACCAATCTCCGACCATGTTGTTGCTGCGGTCACACACAACTAATCACGACATAAAAACCCGCATCAGATGACTGTGACCCATTCCACCGATCACCTCCCTAACCCAGCAGGCCAAGTCAATACATCAGCCTGGAGTGACGGGTCAAATGAGCTGCCAAGAAACCACAGCTATCATCAGCCCGACAGGCAGAACCAGGCCAGCCTATTTAATTTCCATTAATCTTAGATAATCACTTAAAAGCGGAAGCTGGGAACTTTACTCTCTGCGGCTCTCCTCTCTGCAAAAATGTCACCTATAGATGGTGTAAATTGTAAGCACGGATCAGCTGAAAGAGAGAGAGAGAGAGAGAGAGAGAGAGAAGAGGATAAGAGAGAAGATTGAAGGGAAATTTCTTTTTCTTTTCAGCTTCCCTGATGGCAGTCCCCAATGAGTTCTGTCATAAGAGTGTCACATCTATCACCAAGCAAGATGAGATCTGGCCATTGTTATGTAGATCCAATATATCGCAATAATGTTCAACACAAAAGGGAAGAAGCAACACTGGTGTTTAACTGCCTCAGTTGACATCAATCACAAAGATAATAGGATGGAAAAAATAACAAAAAACATTAAGAACATTTTATCTATACATACCAGGACCTCTTCCATTTGTTTCCTCCCTCCATCTCTCCCTTTCTCTCATTATTCCACATCTTTTTTCTTTCGTCATTCTATAGATCTCTTCATGAACAGTACCTTTACACTGCCAAGTTGTAAGCAACAGTTCACATCCCAAGCAATCTCTAAAATTCCACATATTTGTACCATGTTTACAGCATCGGTATTAATTCAACATGTAACTGGTGTTACCTTGTATACATCTAAATAGAACATCGACATCGCCACAGTATAAGCAACAGCTTACCAGCAAGGCACCTCTGATATAGCTGCATAACTACCTTGTTTACAACACTAGCGTTAATTTAACAAATTTCCTCTTCCTCTGTCTGCATAGTATGTACGTAACACATACAAAGACTCGATTTGCAACATGTTTTCTGTATCAGACTCTTCTTAAATATGGTGGCCCCTGCTGAATGAACAGGCCTGAGATTTGGTTCTCAATAAATTCTCTGGAAATCATGAAATCTCATAAAAATATTACCTTCCTGAGTTTTTGACTTTTCATCTAGCTTCTTACACATCCTTTGAGTCGAAACTTGTCTGCAAAGATCACTAATGGAACTAACTCTCAACTACTAGTAAAGATCAATTTCAAAAAGAATCTGAAAGTCCACTTACCCAATTATTTTAGTCTTTAGACTAAGCCCCTCGAGCAATTTCTAATGGACAATGATTTTTACTCTCACTCGTCACAATATCTCATTTAGGTACGTCAGGTATATATATTTATTTGGGCCACTGAGGGCATAAAACATTCCTAGACCAATATCGCTGGCTCAAATTTACGCAGACGTCAACCCACGCCTGGCAGTCCAAATCTAGGACCCATCACTACTAGAGTCTAAATCAAGTCC